ATGCTAAAAAGGTGTTTTAAGAAGCAATAAGAAAGTCATCCCAATCGAAGTTTTAAAAAGGTGATAAAATATTGTTTGAAAGTTCATACGTCATATGCATAGCTTTTTGAAGTTTGTATATTCTTGATGAAATTTATATTCTAAATTTATGTATATGATGTGTGTATGAATTTATCTTTTAAAAGCCTAAAAAAAATGGCTTTTATGTTTTAGGGCTTTTGATTATTTTTCATGAATGGAATACAAAGTGAAAAAAATTCTTATTCCAAAGCAAATAATGTGATTTTTTTTTTGTTGAAATGATGAGCAATATTTTGATATAATAGCAGATTTGATGACACTACATGAAAACCCGTTATTACCGGCGGACTGAATCTGCCGGTAAACTGTAAAATATGACGGAAACCATTGGTTTCCGGAGCATTTCTGTCGGAATTTCATACACCGGTTTGGAGCGCATTGAAAAATGTCTTCCGACGTATTACCGGCGCAAAATGTGTTAGAAGACAGTCTTTTTTCCAGATTATTCCGGCGTTATATACGCCGGAATTTACGACATATTTACCGACGCAAAAAATTCTGTCGGAACATCTGACGTTATTCACGTGTTTTCCTGTAGTGTGATAATGATGTGTTTGCTTAGAACTAGATCAAGTCTTGCGTTAGGCATAATTGTGTGATGATAATTTGATGATGGAGGTTTAGGTTTAGTTTGGGACAACATTAGTCTACTATTTTTTTCTATTTTTATTTTAAAATTGTACTAAAAAACTGCTTTATAAAGCACTAAGAAAATCGTCCTAAATGAAACCTTAATGTTTATTTAAAAGCACGTAATGGTGGTTAAAGTTAGGGAACATAATGATTCATGCTTCGTTTGAGACGGTTTTTTTACCGCTTTTAAAACGGCTTTCAGTAAAAAAATCGTCCCAAATGAAGCCTCAATTTTGAACCGACTTAGCGTTGGTTCTAAATTGGATTGAACCTATATAAGCAGTTTTGAAATAGAATTGTGGCTTAAATTGATTTGATTTCAAATTAGCTTCATTCAAATAAGCTCAATTTAGAAACTACTCAAAATTATTTATTTTTTTATTTTATTTTTTAAATGCTTAATATATATTATTGGGCTGGTTTTGAATCGCTTAATACAATCCATTATTTAAAAAATAGCTTGCAATAAGGCAAACATCATTTTACTGGTCATTGATATTATGATTCTCACGTGCTACTTGTAAAGTATTTAGTATTTTTGTTTTGTATAAATATCCAACATCTACATAATAAAGTTGAAATAAATATATTAATTTTTATATTAAAAATTAATCCGTTTGCAATAGTCTATATATTAATATTTTACAATTAAAATATAAATATTGAGCAAATACGTAATAACTACTCAGTAAATACTCAACAAATATGCAGTAATATAAAAAACTATATTTTGAACATGTGTGAATATTTCATGGAGTCTAAACACAACTCTACATCTAGACTCCGCATCTAATAATTTCTTTCATAAACAACAAAGGAAGATTTACGTACATAGCACTCAACTTTATTGATTTTATATTTTATATAAAAAAATGAATATTTACTTCTATACCACAAAAAAAAAAAATTTCTAGAAGTCATTAAAAATACCATGCTGCACAACATTGTCACTTTCAGTGAACCACTTAGGGTTGTCAATATTTGATACGACCCGAAAACATAATTCAAATCCGACCCGAAAATTTTGGGTTAGGGTCAACTTGAATCCGAAACGGGTCAGGTTTGGATTCAACAATTCGCCCGTTTCAAAAATCATGTCGGGTTCGGGTTGACCTTTGGACTCGAAATTGACCCGTTGCTTGTTGACTTGAAAATCCATTTTTGATCCGAAAACCCAATATTAACCTAAAAATCTTAAGATTGAACCGTTTTTTTTTAACCCTAAAACTAAAATTTTTTTTATGATCCCAGGCTGTTCGGGTTGTGTCGGATTAACCGTTGGCTTGAAGAAGAAGCGGGTCGGGTTCAGATTGACCTGAATAGTATTGGTTCAATTTCAAATTCAACCCAAATCCGACCCGTTACCCAAAATTGACACCCCTATCCACACCTTTCTTTTCTTCCATTAACCCGCCATCTTATTTTCTTCTTCGTGAGCCGTAAAGTCATAACTTCACTATTCATGTTGTTCTTCTTTCTTCACAAGTTTCCTTACATTCGTGAGACATCGCTGGCTACGCTCATGAGATATTTCTTCTTCCCTCTTCTTTTCCTGTTA